AATAGTTATATATGATATGCTTCATTTTTGGATTAGTTCTGGAGTCGATAGTCTTGATACTGATACATTCACGTCGAGCAGGGACTTCACTCACTGTTGCCCTAATTCTGATTTCTCTATATATATTTATAGCATATTTCAGTGCATATTGGATATTGGATCGATAGTACTCTTGAGAGCTGCTGCTTGGAGCAATTTCGGATCGCATTGTCTGACACACACACACACTTGATTGATACGTGTTTATTTTGCGCTATAGTTTTTGCGACTCTCACCTCACCTCACACCTCACTTGAGTGTGTTTCGAGTTCATCGTGCGTTTATGAAGTCTGCAATTACTTAAGCAGAACAAAAGAAAAACCGATTATTTAGTGGCGTCAGGTGGTGCTGCCCGTAAAGATGCGACGAAGTAGAAGGTACAAAGTAGTAGAGAAAAGTATATAAAATGTGTGTTTACAATAGGTTCTTTTTTTTTTTTGTTTTTTTATGCTTAGGAGAAACCAAATACAATTTACAATTTAGCCGCCGTTGCGTTTCAGAGTCGTCTTGCACCCACGATTTACCAAATGAACTTATATAGATTACATATAAGAAGTACATAACACATACAGAGAGAGCATATGCCTCGGGGCGAATGGGGGCTGTGGGGTGGACTTGTTTCCATTTGACTAACATACATGCTGAATACATACATATGTATACATACGTAGAGAGGAGGCATATACATACATATATCTAAATATGTATATCTGTTGTTGCATACAGTATGGACAAGACACTTACCCGAGTCGGAGCGCGTTCGCTTTGTGGCTGGCATTTCCGTTATTTCACGCTGATCATCCGAACGTGGGGATCTGGAGGCTCTGTCGTTACTGCCCTGCAAAGTTCAAAGGTCATGGTTGGGATTAACACAAATGCTTAAATTGAAATGCTCCTGCTCTTGCACGAGGCGGTGCGGTGGCTGCGGAGGGTATGCGCGTGGCCTATGGATACACACACTCTGTGCCGTGCAGAACTACACATGACGTCGGCGTCCCCTGTGCACCGCTTTGGTGGCAAGGTCATGCAGCTGCAAAGGCCACATATGCCTGAGTACTGGGTACATTCATTCACGCAAGTACCATATCCAATTTCACCCTACAACGCAAATCAAGAGGCGCACCGAAGAAAAAAATGCGCAAAATCTACAGTCTGCAGGGCACGCGACGGCAAAAATAGCCACAAAAAGTCTTTCCGAACGTTTAGTGAACTCGAAATTAGCTAAAGCTTACCATGCTCTCGATTTTCCGCTAACTATGATAGCAATTAATGGTTTATTTGTTGATATTTAAGACAATTGAAGCTGATTTCAAAGTTTTGCGAAAAAAATTGTCAAGATGGATGCGAGCAGTGTGACCGCGGATTTTTCGATACAATATACCGCCTGACTCTAGAAAATATACCGAAATATGCATAATTTTACATTTTCAAAATATACCGAAATGTATTAAACTAACTTTTAGTACTTGACTAGTATCGTGGAGGATTTAACATGTCTAGTCTAAGTCTAGTTCTGGTACCTTTTCGATCTCTGTTTCCGGTCACTTATTTTTAAAATTCATATCAATGATCAGTTTCAATTCATTGCTCGTAGGAGCAACATCTAGGAGAGAAAGTGAAAATAAAATTTCGGAAATAAAAGTAAATTTTTGAGCCGAAGTTGCCTTAGCAAAAACTTTCAGTTCGTAAATATAAAGCAAAAGTACTATTCGATTCACAAAACAAAAGCAAACAAAATAGTGGTTACTGATAAGCAATAACAAAGTGTTGTTGTTATCATGAACGACGACGAAGACGACACAACGGTTTGGAACTGGCAGAGAGTAAAATTGAAGTCAAAGGCAGTCAAGAGACAAAACCAAGTCTCTCCTATTCTACTAAAGAAAAAAATCGCTCTGGACTTAGCACCCAGAACCAGCTCCAATCAATATGCCCTCCTAAGCGACAGCACGCCAAATAACGGAAATGAAGATGAAAACGAAGCACTGGACATGATAACTGAAGATAGCTTAACTGAATCTGCCAAGCCGCCACCTATATTCTTATCTGAAGTCAGTGATATAAAAGGAATGCTAGTTTACCTCGAGACTACAATTAAAAAAGAGCTTTTCTTTTATAAAGTACAACGCGATGGTCATGTGAGAGTTATGGTAAAGTCTATTGAAGAATACAGGAAACTTGTTAAAACTCTTACTAAAGATTCTGTCAAATTTCACACATACCAACTTAAACATGAGAGGGCATTCAGAGTTGTTATTAAGAATTTGCACTTCTCAACGGATATCGAATTAATCAAACAAGATGTGGAGTCCAAAGGTCACGCTGTTAGAAACATTAGTAATATTAAAAGTCGTGTAACCAAAGAGCCATTGAATTTGTTCTACTTAGACATTGAGCCCAACAATAAGAACTTAGATATATACAAAGTTAAATTCATTGGTAACGCAGTTGTTAATATAGAACCACCCCGTAAAACTAAAGAAATCGTTCAGTGTTATCGTTGCCAGGAATTTGGACACACAAAGTCATATTGTGCCAAAACTCACAGATGTGTGAAATGCTCTCTTAACCATCCCAGTAACGTTTGCCCAAAAGATAAAGAGCAACCAGCAAAATGTGCCAACTGCAACGAAGATCATGCTGCTAGTTATAAAGGGTGTAAAGTCTATCAGGATCTTATATCAAAAAAAATAATAAGCGGACGCAACCACCAGAGAAACACCAAAGATGACAAAAATAAAAATGACCATGGTACATATCAATCATTTGCTCCGTCTAATAATTCGACCCAACAACCCAAAGATTACCAATCATACGCTCAAGTTGCTGCAGGAAATAGTAACTCGAACAAGTCTCTAGAAAGAATAGAACAGCTTCTAGAAAAACAATCTCAACTTACCAATAATTTACTTAACATGATAATGTTACTTGTAAATAAGCTATGCAAATAAATCTAAACTTAGGAATATGGAATGCCAATGGGCTTTCCAACCATGTAAATGAAATAGCTTTATTTTTAAAAACGAATGCCATTGACGTCATGCTTATTTCAGAAACACACTTCACTAGCAAATCTTTTTTTAAAGTTACTGGATACGACACAGTAAGAGCTGACCATCCATCAGATAGAGCTCATGGAGGTGCTGCAATTCTTGTCAAGCAGGGCCTTAAATTTCAAATCATGGACAGTACTAGGGAAAACGCTATGCAAGCTGCCACAATTCAGATAAAATGTATGCACGCAGATGTATCAATAACAGCGATTTATCTCCCACCAAGATTCACAATAAAAGAACTCGATTTCAAAAACTTTTTCCAAGGACTGGGAGCAAAGTTTATCGTGGGAGGCGACTTCAATGCCAAACATCCATGGTGGGGATCCAGATTAACTAACCCGAAGGGATCGGAGTTATACAAATGCATACGAAACAATAACATAACGACTTTGTCAACTGGTGTGCCCACATACTGGCCAACTGATAGTCGAAAAATTCCAGATTTGATTGATTTCATAGTATTCTCTGGAATCCCACAATCACACATGCGAGTAATGGAGAGCTTTGACCTTAACTCAGATCATTCTCCAATAATAGCAACTTACAGCACAATAGCCCATATGTTGGAAAAGCCCTATAAAGTAATAACAGCCTCTACAGACATTAACGCATTTAAAAGCCATTTAGATTCAGCTATAAGCCTGGACATTCCGTTAAAAACAGGAGAGGAGATAGACTATGCTGTGGAGCTTTTCACAAATACAATTCATAATGCGAGCTACAGAAACACGAATCATGCTCTTAATCATCAACAACCAAACCAATTGAACCTTTCAACCGATCTTCGACAAAAAATACAAAATAAAAGGAATCTGCGAAAACGCTGGCAAGAAACTCACTACCCTGCTGACAAAAGATTATACAACAAGGCTGCATCTGAGCTTAGACAACTGCTGTCGAACTTACGCAATGAATCTCTAGCTGCGTATCTGAGAAACTTAGACCCTAATTCAAGCAACAATGAATACAACCTATGGAGGGCGACTAAATACCTAAAGAAACCAGCTAAAAGAAACATAAATATTCGCAAAAACAACGGAACTTGGTGTAGGTCTAATAATGAACAAGCGGAAGCATTTGCACAACATCTGCACTCTGTGTTTCAGCCAAACGATATAAATAATTATACAACAGAGACTGAAGTAGAAAAATTCCTTGAGTCACCCTGCCAAATGAGCTTGCCTATTAAAAGCATTAAATATGAAGAAGTTGTGACAGAAATCAAATGCTTGAAGAATAAAAAAGCACCTGGCCCTGATAAAATAGACGGTATCACCCTAAAAAGTTTACCACCAAAATGCATTCGGTTTCTCACTCTTATATATAACGCGATTCTCAGACTAGACCACTTTCCAAGTCAATGGAAATGTGCAGAGATCGTTATGATCCTAAAACCAAACAAAATAGAAACGGAATTGACATCATACCGTCCCATTAGTCTGTTGACAATTNATTATTATTATTATTATTAATTAAATTATTTTATAAAAAAAAAAAAAAAAAAAAAAAAAAAAAAATATCAATGATAAATCAAACTGATATAAAATATATCTGAAAAATATCGATACATCGATATTTGGATATATTTTCGACAACCCTAGGTCACAGCTATTTCACAAAGTCCCCGGCTTTATCACTGAAGGTTTAAAACTTTGCTGACAGTGACAAAATATTTTAGTATGTTGTAATAATATATTCAAATATTCGAGTGTGTTTAGTGAGTAAGTGCCTCAAAATACAAAAGGAAAGCAAGTGATAAATAGTGCTGTGATATCAGCTGCAACTAGTCAAGAGATTAACCTGCGCGAGTGGTTACCCAGCAGCCCTTGTAATCTCTTTGTTACACATTAAGGTGACATCAAAAGTGAGTAATCAACACAAACATCATTTCCAACTGCATGTCGCTTTGATTTTATTTATTCAACCATTCTTGCTTAAGGACTACAACTAAAATTAAACTATTCTTTAATATTTACAACTCTCTTTATGGCCGAAATGTGGGTGTGGGTTTTGCGCTGGAGCGGACGAGGATGGGGCAAGACATGGCCTACGTGTGGATGGTCAGAGGGCATTGCAGTTTTCACAATGCAGCAGGAACTTGTACAATGAATCGTAAACTAGTTTTCAGCGTTGTTTCATAATGGATCTCTGTCGCAAGAGTTGTGCGTGCTTCTTCCTTCCTTGCTAATTCTAGAATTCTTTGTTTTTCCGTGTTTTTATTCCAATGTTAAAGCTAATGTCAGTCACTTTGACTTTCATCATTTCCATAGCGAATTTCATATTAATATCGTTAAACTATTGAACAAATATTAAAAACGAAACGAAAATTTCAAGTGTTGCTTCTCTTCTCTCTCGCGGCTTTGAGCTAAAAATTCTAATAATTGTAATAAAACCCTAGAATGAAAAATGATTCACTAAAATAAATTAACGAGAGACCAAAGCTTTACCGCTTTAATGCTTTATAGCGGTAGTTCTGCTAAGTACACATGTTGCTTTCGGTTTAAGTAAATGGTTTCGGCGAGTGTTAAGTGTTCCCACCAGTTCCCTGGTGTTCTCTGAATGGTGTGTGCACCTTGCGGGCAAACGGGGCCGAGAGCCGGGCGGGCAGCAGCTTTTTTTAAGCTCGAATACCAATCACCGCACTCGACAACGACTATCACAAGGTTCAGTTTTTGCTGGAGCGGCAGTGCCGACTCCCTCCTTTTTAGTACAGATCATCGTCCATGTTTTGAATAAGTATCTTCTTGTCCTCCTTGCAATTGGAGGACTTGGCTAGTGTCTGCTCCACCAGCTTGGGATCGAAACAGGGCTATAAGGCAACAACTCATTAGTCATGGTTTCTCTTCAAGTTAAAGACGTTGAAGGGACATTTACCGTCTCGCAGATGTTCATGTTGCAGCAATTCTCTATCGTAATCTCGCACTGCTCGGTGGCCAGCGGGCGATTGGTTAGCGGTGTGTCGCCAGCGGAGTTCGTGCGCGCCTGCTTACGCACCACAAATGTCTTCCTGATGCGTGGCCTCTTTGGTTTGTACAAGCGACGGAAGCCATGGACTATGATGGCCACCAGGAAGAAGCACGACACGATGCCCACAACCAGGACAATGATCACATTGCTGGTCCAAGGACTGGGTGTCATGCACACCTCCAGATGCTGATACTGCGGTATGGCGATCTTATCGCTTGCATCCTTGGCCAGTTCCTCGCAGCTAAAAGAGGGAAAAAGCGAAACCAATTAGCTGAGAATCGCATGGGGAATTGCATTACGCCTCCACTCACATATCGTGGCAGCCAAAGGGCACATAGATGTCCGACTCATGCTTCAGCAGGCGACAGAACAACGCACAGATCTCCGTGGAGTTCTGCTCGCAACGTTCGCCCGCAAAGTTGTGGGGGCACTCGCAGCTGGGCTTCTCAGAGACATCCTCCAGCTTGCAGTGGCCACCGTTAAGGCACAATCCCGAGCACTTGCTGATCTCGCAACGCTCGCCCGTGAATCCCGGCTGGCAGTAGCACTTGGGATACGCTCGATCGCTGATCTCGCAGGTGCCGTGCACACAAAAGTTGTGACACTCGCGTATCTCGCAGCGCGAACCCTTGTAGCCCGTCGGGCAGATGCACAGCACGCGATCGGCAATGTAGGTGCCGCCGTTCAGGCAATGATCGCGCTCCAGTTGGGCCACCTTCTCGTCCACCAGGCTGCGCATTTGCTTCTTCTTGGCCATCTGATCCAGTCGCTCCTTAACCTTGCGCACCACATTCGCGCAATGTGCATCCTTCTGCAGTCGCTGATAGAATCCTGTGCGTGCCACAATGCCACATGCCTCCTCGCTGAGATTGGCCACACGAACGAGTGCGGACACCTCTGCCACGGGCTCTGGTTCGATGTCTGCGATGGTCTCCGTTGCCGTATCATCTTCCTCTGGCTTAGCCGGACTCATGGTGGTGGTGGTGGCCTTGACAATGGGCACCTTGGGATGACTCCAGACCGCCTTGGTGGTCTTGTCCGTCCAGTAGATGGCATCATTGGTCACCGCAAGGTTCTGCGGCTCGTGGTGCTTGTCGTGCAGCACCAACTGCCGATCGGAGCCATCGAGACGTGCACTTTTCAGTGCAAAGAACACGCCCTTCAGGTCATCGATCCAGAAGATGCGATCCGACAGCTGATCCACGACAATTCCACGCGGCATATCGATGTCCGTGTCGATGATCACCTGGCGGTTGGTGCCCGCCAAATCGATGCTCTCCACCGTGGGATGCGTGATGTTGGAGTTCGTCCAATAGAGCTTCCTGCGGCACACATCGACGGCCACGCCATCGGGCCGTGCACCTTCGTGGCTGAGATCCACCAGCACCTTGGGCTCCGCCGTCACTTGACTATCGATTGAGGCAAAGTAGATCTTCCGCTGCAGCGTGTCCGACCAGAAGAGGTTCCGATTGAGCGGATCGTAGGCCAATCCTCCCACCGATTCATTCCCCGTTCGCTGCACCGCCTGCTCGGCTATGTGGGAGGCCATCAGGGCGTCTCGTCGCAGCGAGAATATGCTGCTGTTCTGGTGCACCCGATCATGGAAGTAGATGAGTTCCTCCGTTTCGTCAAAGGTCATGGCTGAGAGTTCATCGAACTCGTGCGCCGCCGATGCCAAAGAGCGCCAAAATTCATCTAAAAACAGAATTTTCGACTTCAATGTGACGGCAAACTCTGCAAAAAGAGTAAAGAAAATTCAGTTAGAAATCATTGAAGATTTAGGCACGTGATCTATCAGTTCATATTCTCTGCTCCTTTTTTGGTTTGCGGAAATTAAGCTCAATCAATGCGCAGGCGATCCATTAAACATTGCCAAAAGTGCCTCCAAATGGCAATCAAATCATTTCCCTCTACATGAGAAATTCAATTTAGAATTTTTGCAACAGAAATCATTCTGCCAGAATTGCGTTTCAATTATTCATTTGTATTATTGATGATTTTCAATGTGGCGCCAATCGATTTGATGCGACGGTGTCGCCCCAAGATGTCGCAGAGTTTTAGAGATCATTTACGTCTAGAGGTGTCTAGCCACTGATAAGCAAATGGAAAGCACTTCAATGGCGCAAACAATTTCAGTGTTAAGGGAAAACCCTACTCTCTCACTGAATGTCAACACTGATCTGTGACCCATGGGGTGGAAAAGTCATATCAATTAACATGAATTTTCCCCCGTTTCACACCCAATCGATGTGATTTCGATGGTGACGCGTGACCTTAAATCACGCACAAACACAAACATGGCCGCCGATTTCTAAATCTGGATGTACAGTGTGCAAAAATGTTATTTGATAAGCAATGCTTGATTCGAAAGCGGGTTAGACCGCTCCCCCCCTAGCGACAGACCCCTCTACTCAAGCGAAAATGTAAACAAGCAAAAAAGCAGCAGTACAAGCAGTAAATCCCTCTCTCATGGGAACAAGATATTTCCCCTTTTTTGTGGAGAGTTGTGTCTTTCCCCTCACTGAGGTGGGGAAATTATGCATGTATGACCATATAAAAATATACCCCCCATGGGTATGCAGGGTACTGTAATCGTAATAAGATCGAAAGCCAAAAAACCTGTTGTCAAATGGCCAGGGCCTTTTGCAAGTCAAGCTAATGCGAATGATTAAGGCTGCGCTTGCAGCACAGCACAGCCACCTGTTGTGCCTGTTGACTGGCTGTTTTTTGCATGTGCAAACGGATAAAGATAAAGTTAGCACTTTTCTGGACTGGATCTCGCACGGAAATGGAAAAACTGCAGCTGGCGGAACAGACAGCAAACAAAAACAAAAACGTAACTGCTTCACCGGAACAAAAAAGAATACGTCACTGAAGGCTGAGAGATAGAGGTAGAGGGAGAGGGGGCTTGATTTTACTTCCACACGACTTGACTTCCATTTCCTTTCGAATTTATCGATCAACCATCGATCTGGGTAAATTCAATTCATATCGACCTGGTCATTGGCGCTAGAGCCTCAAACTTTTGTAGGTCACTGTTGCTATAGTTTTTGTTTGCCAAAAACCTGAACATAAATAATGGTTATTCATGATATATCCATATGTATGGGTGCGTGGCTGGCCAATTATCATCGCGATGGTTGTAAAAACAATAACACAAACACAATAATAGTGGAAACGCGAATGAACGAGCGTCGGAACCTCCTCTCACTGGCACCGCACCGGTGCTGATGACCTCCAAGGCTTCTGCGTTTGAGGTCAACGTTTTGATCGATGCAGAAATAGTTTTTTAATTGATATTTATTAAGCATTATTTTATTACTTATTTCTGAGTGTTTTTACTAAGGATTACTAACATTTCAAGGTACATATTGCCTGAGGGTTTCCAAATTTAGGGAAATAATGCATACAAGCATTATAATCACTCTCTCGTGGGAAATGGAAGTGTTCCCTTTTTGTGGAGAGTTTGATCTTTCCCCTCACTGGAGTAGGGAAATTATGCATGCTTGCGTTCAGTTCATTTTACAAACGATATTTGTCCTATGGAATTTACTGTACTATCTTTATAAAGCCCCCTCTAATTTCATGATTCATTATAGTTGTTTCCTATCGCTTCAGATATGATATGGTTTTTCAATGTCACTATCTACGTGGGAATAGGGAATGCTCGTAGTGGATTTTCTTGATGCACGAGGTGTCCATCGATCTCATTATAATATACGATTACAGAAATCAAGTCTTCAACTGTCTGGGTTTTAGTAATGCACGATATCGATATCGATATTAGACTGGGAATGAAATGAGAACTGTCTCTGTATGGGGTCTTGAATTGCGACTTGGAAACTCTTTCGGTCTAGGAAACCATTATGCTGCAGTTACAAGCAGTGTATCCAAATCCCATAAACTGCTTGCCTTCATAATTTCCCTGATGCACTACGAAACTACAGCTACAATTTCCAACAGAAGCAAGACAGCAATAGAAACCAATTGTCATTTTTCAATCACTGCCTAGAAGCATATCTAATGAATTGCGACTTTACAGTTCTTTGGGTTTCGGGAACACTCTAACCTGCAGCTGCAGACGGCTGTATCAGCCAGCCAAGCAGAGTAACCCAATCGCACAAACTGTTTGTAAGCATAATTCCCTTGTGTGAAAGAGGAGTATGGCAGCAACTACAGCTAGAAGCATATCTAAAAAGAAGCCGGCTCGACAGATGATATATCATGTGGAATACGTGCCAAAAGAGGCCATGGGTATGGCGGCAACAGTGGTGGCTTGTTGTTGCGATGGTGCGACAAATATCATGGAAAGGGAGGTGGCAAAACCAAATGTTGTTTTTGCCGGCCACGTTGATTTGAAAAGAGAGCCGACTTGAAAGAGAGAGCGTAACTGTAACCCTCTCTAAAGGGAAGAGAAAGTTTGGCTGCCGTGTAAAACACCGACTAATAATGAATTGGGTGTTTTCAAAGATTTTTCGAATGTATTTTGTTATTAGTTATCAGGGGGACGTGTGCATTGATAAGAAAAGCCCGCGCTTCGACGCATAAAACGAGTGATAGAAGAGAAGATAAAACCCGTTCAGCTGATGGCAGGTCCACCCTTCACACTTCGCTCTTAAGCACGAGCACGAGTATTGCATACTCGATAATAATACATAACATAATACATAATGTCAAGCGATTACATAAGAGCTCCCTGGTGCTATCTTTTGCATGCAGCGAATGTGAACGGTACCGCATTGTTCCTGTCGAATTGATTTTGAGCGGAAATGAAGGTTAGGCATGCCAGAGGGTCATGTCAGTGGCCCCTTTCTCGTGTTCGATTCTTACCCCATTCCAGAGAAGTTCCTATTGCCAGGGCGGGCAGACAGGCGGCAACAGCTATAACTGGCACTAGAACTGACGGAGACCATAACATTTTTGTTGCCTACTTTAAATATCACACTTCTCTCGATTGCACAACCGTTGTCTATTAAGGGGTTCAGTGTCACTAATGGATTGCAGCTTATATATTCCCGGACAATAAGTATTGGACTGAGAAATAAGTCGGATTTGAGTAAACACCGCGATGTTTTCACATTCACCGGACTCGGACTTAAAAGGGTTAAAGCAAATCGGACCCAATCAACCACGCACCGCCAGGCAACAGCATTCAAATAAATAAATAAAAAATATTTATTTGGATTTGGCCCTCACTGTCGCAGGGTTGTAATTTAGCAATCGAATAAACAGCTGTTTTGAATCAAAGTGTATTCGGACACTTGAATTATGTGCAATCGATTTCTGAATAAGTTGAATTACAGTGCCTGGACTTAATAGTCATTTATAAAACACAAACTGTGTCGTTTCAAGCAAAATTAGTAGTTTTTATTTGATTTTAAAAATAAAATAAATCTATCGGCAGTGTTGGTAAGTGACGCCGAATACGCAATAATACCCGACAACTTTGAAGTGAATTGGTTCTATTATTATTTATTCGCGTGACTGGAAACGTAAAGTGCAATGTACAAGAATGCACTGAGGGGAGGTGTTCGTACGGCCAAACAAGCCTGGAAGCTAAAAAACGGTGATTATAGAAGTTAACATTCGTAGCCGGCCAAACAGCTGGTCTCAAATCGATTAGAAAGTAGGCCACTTAAAGCGTGTGTGTGTGTGTGTGTGTGCGTGGTGTTCGATAACCGCAAGCAGGCAGCATATCGTTTTTTCCTCAATTCAACTATATCAAATCAAATGTACGAATAGTGCAATAAGTGAAACACTAATCTTTCCAGAAATTGGCAAACTCAACTTAGAAGTAGCCAAGGCGAACACAGAATTCGAGCAACACTTGTGCGAAGGTGAGAGAGCGAGCTGCGAGAGCAAATCCCGCTCATCCTTACCTCCCCTCCGGTCCACCGCCAGAGCTAATCAAGTAACAAGACGTGAAGAAACGCTTATCAATAATTGCTGTGTGTGTCGCTGATAATACTAACTAGAACCGATTGTCCTGCCTTTTTCTGCCATTTCAGCTGCCAGACCCATCCAAAGCTGTTATCCCGCAACCGCAACCCCAGCCACAGTTACTAATCCCCAGTGAGAATAACAGCAGCAAGCCCACCTGCAACTCGAACACCTCCACTTCCAACAATCTGAACAACTGCAACGTTGCTAACCATTATCGGCTGTTTGCTAACGTCTCTCCCTCAACACTCGATAAGCATTCTAACGCCAATCTCCGCCGCACAGAGTCTGCCCATCTAAACGAGCTAATTTCGTCGAAGCAGTTCGTCAAGGTTCAGAAGCAATTTTACCGCGACTACTCTTCCGTTTCCCTGGGAGCTCCACTGAAGAACTCCGACGCACCGCTGCTCGGTGACTTGTGCAATCAGTATCGGGCCATCTTAGCGTACACATCGGCGGACGTAGTGCCCGGACAAAAGAAAGGCCAGCCACAGCATCAGCAGAGTCGACGGACACACACGCAACAGGAGACACGAGTGCAGCAACAGGAGGAGGTCGACGGCATGGCGCAGAAGCAGGAGTTCAAGCGGCTGCCCACGAATGTGGTGCCAAAGCATTACGAGCTGCTGCTGCAGCCCGATCTGGAGGCTTTCACATTTAAGGGCAAGACAATAGTGCAAATCCAAGTGAGTAAAGAGCCTTGTTATCTGTTTTGTCTTCATCTCTGTCCCCTCCTCTCCACTCCTCTCTCTTGTCTTTCCGCTTTCGCTTTCACTTTCCAGTGCCAGTGTTGCGTTTGTGTGGATTTTGTACCATCTGACGTGTCGTGTGCAAAAATATTTTTCGGACATTCTCCTTGTTTTGTTGTTTGGCATTTCTCTTTATGCTGCAATTTGCATACACCACAAATAACACACACACCACAAACGGGCAAATGCACAAGCAGGAATACACACAAAGGAGGAAACGGTTTCTTTGTTGCTGGGAATGGGAATACGCAGAATGAAGGGGCACTTGGGGGCTCCGTAGCGCAACAAATAAAATTTATGTGAAGCCAATCTCCTCCACGTCTCCCGCTGTCATAACTGTAAATTTTGTTTACGTTTTTGCCTGCGTCAACGCCAAATATGCGCTAAGTCGCACTTTGGATACTCTTCATGGACAGACGTAAAGATAAGTAATGACAAAATTGACTCAAAGCTAAACGGAATATTTTGTTTCGATCACATTTATTAAATGCGTGGAATAACTTACCTGTTCTTATTCCTCATCAGAAAGCGTAGCTCCAGGTAGTTTACCTTTCGTTTTGTTCCTTTCTCTTGGCAGTGCATAAATTTGGCCAAAACGAGTTTTAGAGATTGGGGCGGTTTTGATTGCGGCATCTAAAGCCGGAAACTCGAAATAAAGGCAGCAAAAAATAGCGGCAATTTCTATGACCTTGGAATAACTGTTTATGGCCGCTGTTCTACCAACTCATTATTGACTCATCTCTTTTATCCGTTTCCAGGTTAAGGAGCCGACCACACAGATCGTCCTCAATGCCCTGGACATAATCATCGACGAGGCAGTGCTGGAGTTTGAGTGCACCAAGCTAAAGGCAGATCGCATCGTCTACTCCACGGAAGCCGAGACGGCGACGCTGGAGTTTGAGCAGGGTATTCCTGCGGAAACGGCCGGCGTGCTGCACATGTCCTTTACGGGGGAGCTCAATGACAAGATGAAGGGCTTCTATCGCAGCAAATACTTCAGCGCCAGCGGGGAGGAGCGCTACGCGGGCGTCACCCAGTTCGAGGCTACAGATGCGCGTCGCTGCTTCCCCTGCTGGGACGAGCCCGCCATCAAGGCGACGTTCGACATCACGCTGGTGGTGCCCAAGAATCGGGTGGCCCTGTCCAATATGCCCGTCAAGAAGGAGGATGCCCTGGACGGTGGCTTGCGTCGGGTGCGCTTCGATCGTACACCCATCATGTCCACTTATCTGGTGGCATGCGTCGTTGGCGAATATGACTTTGTTGAGGGCAAATCCGAGGACGGCATCATCGTGCGCGTCTTTACGCCCGTGGGCAAGCGGGATCAAGGACAATTCGCACTGGATGTGGCCACCAAGGTGCTGCCCTATTACAAGGATTACTTCAACATTGCCTATCCACTGCCCAAGATGGATCTTATTGCAATTTCGGACTTCTCGGCCGGCGCCATGGAGAACTGGGGATTGGTCACCTATCGCGAGACCTTCGTTCTGGTTGATCCCAAGAACACATCGCTGATGCGCAAGCAGTCCATTGCCCTCACTGTGGGCCATGAGATTGCACATCAATGGTTCGGTAAGTCCTCCTCTTTGCTCTTCTGCTCTTTCTTCATGTCATCTTTTCTATGGCCTTGCAGGCAATCTGGTTACAATGGAGTGGTGGACACATCTGTGGCTGAACGAGGGCTATGCCTCCTTTGTGGAGTTCCTTTGCGTGCACCATCTGTTCCCCGAGTATGACATTTGGACTCAGTTCGTCACGGACATGTACACGCGTGCCCTGGAGCTTGATTCGCTGAAGAACTCGCATCCCATCGAAGTGTCTGTCGGCCATCCGTCGGAGATTGATGAGATCTTCGATGAGATTAGCTACAACAAGGGAGCGTCGGTGATTCGCATGCTCCACGACTACATTGGCGAGGATGACTTCCGCAAGGGCATGAACATCTATCTGACTCGCCATCAGTATGGCAACACCTGCACCGAGGATCTGTGGACGGCGCTGCAGGAGGCGAGCTCCAAGAATGTGGCCGAGGTCATGTCCTCGTGGATAAAGTACAAGGGATTCCCCGTGGTGAGTGTAGAGTCCGAGCAGCAGGGCAAGTCGCAGCGCATTCTTCGCCTTAGCCAAAGGAAATTCACAGCCGATGGCTCCCAGGCCGACGAGGACTGCCTGTGGGTGGTGCCCATTTCGGTGTCTACCTCTCGCAATCCCACGGCCATAGCCAAGACTTTCCTGCTCGACAAACCCTCCATGGAGGTCGTTCTGGATGGCGTTTCAGCCAGCGACTGGATCAAAATCAATCCCGGCACCGTCGGCTACTACCGCACGCGCTACTCAAAGGAAATGCTGGAGCAGCTGATGCCAGCGGTGAAGAATATGGAGCTTCCTCCTCTGGATCGGCTGGGACTGATCGATGATATGTTTGCCATGGTGCAGGCGGGTCATGCCAGCACGGTCGATGTCCTGGCCCTCGTGGAAGGCTACAGAAACGAGACCAACTACACGGTGTGGACGGCCATCACCAATTCGCTGACCAATCTGCACATTCTGATATCCCACACGGATCTCATGGAGGACTTCCATCGCTTTGGACGCAACCTCTATGAGCCAGTGGCCCAGCGTCTGGGCTGGGAGCCACGCGAAGGCGAGAACCATTTGGATACGCTGCTGCGCAGCCTTGTCCTCGCTCGCCTTGTGTCCTTCCGCAGCAGCGAAGTCATCGAGGTGGCCCGCAAGCGCTTCCGCAGTCACATAAACGGCACCAATCCGCTGCCCGCCGATCTGCGCAACACCTGCTACAAGGCGGCGCTACAAAACGGCGATGAGCAGGTCTTCGAGGAGATGCTCGCTCTGTACCGCACCACGGATCTGCATGAGGAGCAGGATCGCATCTCACGAGCCCTCGGGTGCAGCACCGATGTGAAGCTGCTGCGTCGCGTCATTGATTTTGCCATGTCGGTAAGTGTGAAAAACGCTCAAAAAATGATTGTGGTTCCCTGGGTTACATCCGCCATCTGCTTCTTAGGGTGAAGTGCGTGCCCAGGACTCTGTCTTTGTGATAGTTGCCGTTGCCATTAATCCCAAGGGCCGTGACATGGCCTGGGAGTTCTTCAAGAGCAACAACAAGCAGCTTCTCGAACGCTATCAGGTAAGTCCTGCTCTCCTTCTTCGTCTCCAAATGGAATCTTCATTGTTTTCCCATTTTTAGGGCGGCTTCCTGCTCACACGACTGATCAAGTATCTCATCGAGAACTATGCCTCTGAGGAGAGGGCCAAAGAAGTGGAGGAATTCTTCAAGGTAACACAGATACCCGGCTGCGAGCGCACTGTCTCCCAGGCCGTGGAGACAATACGCCTGAATGCCGCATGGCTGGAGCGTGATCGCGCGAAGCTATCCACATACCTGAAGAGCGTATAGACATGGTCTCGCCCTCGAGCATACCAAAGCATTTAAAAAACGAATCACAA